TTGCAATTGGTTAGAAGCATCTCACATATCTTAAACATATTCTATCCACAGAAAAGAGTAGAAACTTAATTTTAACATTTTAATTTTGATTTACCTTATAAGGTCTATGTAAATTGGAGTCCTGGTACCTTAGTTTAAGTAAGTCAATCATTTGTAGCCCACTTATAGTCCAGCCCATTAATCCCACATATCTTATTAAATTGATTAAACCTGAAGGTATAATAATAAAAGAAGATAAAAGGACTATCTGGATCACAGCTACAGCTGGACAGAGGTGGTTACTAAGGCATAGCATAGATCAAAGGCAGTTGTCTTTCTTGGCTTGCAGTGTAGAATATCCTTGATATTACAAGTATTGAACAAGTGTTGCCAAATAATGAAGTTGAAATCCCCAAAGAAATGATCCATTGTATAGAAGGGAATACTTTGTCCATCCATGTGACAGCAACAGAATCTACAAAAATTAAAAACAAAGTTAAAAAAGTGAAAGTTACTTTTGCTTAATTGGAAATATGGTAGCAATTCTCCACTTACTCCTGTATCCATACATTTTGTTTTGTAATGTGACTTTGCAGCTTCTTCCAAGAGAGGGAGTCTCTACTTACTCCTTGAATCTGGCCTGGCCTTATCACCTGTTTTGACCAATATAATACATTGGAACATTGGAAGTGGTGGTTTGCCAGGCTTTCTCCTGAGAAGCATTGCAGATTTCTCCTTGCTCTCTTGGTTGGTACACTGTCTAGCTAATGGTACATCATTTTAACAAGCCCAGCCTAGCCTGTCAGAGGGCAGAGCCGAGACAAGCCATCCTAGTTCTGGAGCCATGAAAATGCACCACACAGATCACATACAGGGAGCACAACTGACATAGGGCTCTGGCTACTGCATATAAAATCTGTTGTGGCATTTCTGCCAAAGCTATGCCTCCCACAGGTTGTTCCCAGCCAATGCCTTTGCATGTCAGAGATACATTTATCTGATGGCCAACTTTGACTAATGGGCTCCTCACAGACCTGCCAAACCTCCCTTATACTACATGGCTGTCTAGGGTGTTTTTTACCTGTCTTTCTCTCTTTCTCTCCTTTGATTTAAGTCAGACTTGCATTATGGTCCCATGGCTCTCAGAACCTCACCTGACTTCCTTCTTGTTTACTACAAGCATTTGCCCTAATAAAATCCTTGTGCATTTAGTAGTACTGTGTCGGCATTTGCTTCTCAAAGGACCAGAACTAACCTCCAGCTGAGGCCCTAATGAGCATGGCCAACGTTAGTATAAATACTTTCCCAAGTTGCAGGGAACTACAGACACATGAATGACCCCAACAGAGAACAGAAGAGCTGCTCATCTGAACCCATCCTAAATTGCCAACCTACAGAACTGTGAACTAAATAAATGATTGTTTTAAGCCAGTAAGTTTTGGGGAGGTTTCTTAGGCAACAGTAGGTGAGTGATATAATCACTAATAATATTACTGAATAAAAATAAAAATAGCTTTTCATTTGGGGATAAGTATTATATTTTTAACTAAGACATGTAACAAATTAGAAATATAAGAATTTGTGTTGTAAAGGTATCAATTGTGCTGCAAAATTTCTCCAAAATGATGCACGTTAAATATTAATTATAAAGTGGAATTCAAAATTATGTGATATAATGATGTTATCTTACTAGTATGATATGATGGTATTTTTTAAATGATAATCTGATGAATTAATAGTTCAATTATTTTCCTTCCTTTTTGAAA